AAAAAAAAAAAAAAAAAACAGAATCGACAGATTAATCGATAAGCAAAATGATCGTTAGCAGCAGCCCTAGATATTTCAGTATCGATTATAATTATAATAAAAAACAAAAAAAAATCCAGAGCATCAGTCAGTGGCAAATGCTTTAATCATAGACTGAGAAGTATATTGAAAAAACTGTTTGAAAGAAGTTTGAAAGTCATATAATTGATAGTGAATTAAACTATATGGCTATATACAGTATATACATATACACACACATATATATATATACATGATCTAAAACTCAATGCATTATTTGACTTCCATTTTGATATTTTTGTAGGAAATTGTTCAGCAAAAAAATGCAATGCAATCGACATCTGGGGTTGGAACATCACAAAAACATGGAAAAGACTCATGGAGGGAAATCTTTGTGTCTCCTTCTTCACCACTGTCAAAGTAAATCTCACATAATAAAGCTTAACCTCTGACTGGGTCGGACTCACATCAGGGTTTAATGTCCAATAAACTCTCTCATTACTTGCCTGCTGCTCAGCAGATGCCAGTATGCTGTGTTTTCAGTCAGGCGGCAGGTCGTCGTGATGGAAGAAGAATCGATGTTCATCCAGTCACGAGGCCGATAATGAGAGCCCCTATCAAGGCCTGCCATGAGGGAGGCCGAATGATTTACACTCAGTTAAGCAGGTGCCATTAGGCCAGATGTTTTCTTTTTATGGGCGCGCAGATGGCGCCACGTAGCAGCTCTGGACAGCCTCCCTCTCTCTCCCTACATGCATCAAGGCTGGACGCACACTGTCACTGTAAAGAGGGGGTGTGTGGTCTGGATGACGTTGACCCAAAGCTTTGATCCGACAACTTTTAAAAGCTCTGCTCCAGAGACAGAAACCCCTAAAACAAAAAAACCCTACAAACTATACAATTTAACAGCTGGTGTTTTGAAAATACTTAAAGGTTTTAAAATCTTAACCATGTGTCCAGGTTGAGGACATCACAACAAGCACAAGAGTTTTTTTTACAAGATCTACAGGGTCCTGATTGATCTAAAACATGCAGGATATAAAACCTTAAAGACTGATTTTTTTACAACACCGGTAGAAGAAGTCAAGCGGAAGGTGGAACTCAACTTAATCAATCAAAACATAAAGAAATATTTTAAGAATTCTAAATGTACTTAAATACCATATGTAGAAGATATTGATGCAGTTAAGGCTTCTAATGTTTGTTTTTCTCTTTAATCAATAAATAGACCCTCCCAAATCCAAGGGTCCCATGAAGTTTAATCAATTTACAACAAACTAGCCAAAAGAAAAAAAAAAAGTGACCAGGGCCTATTGTAACATAAGTGACAAATGCATATAAGGAAACTATGAGGCCTGTGATATTATTACTGTAAACTGAGAGGCCATATTTACTTAATGCAAATTTTTATGACTCTTCTTTTTTAATGATCAAATCTTTAACAGTCTTTTACAAATAACCAATTACCGTACTACTGGATCAAGTGGAGGTGGTGGTGAAAATGTTCCATTTTCATGAGATGTGTTTGTAAATAAAAATGAAAAAGAAAGAAACCAAAGAACCAAAGATCCTGTTGGGTGACTTTCCCTTAACTTTTTTCTCCTCCATTGATAGAAAGCATTAAAAAACTATTCCTCTGTATCATCCTCTGGAGAGATTAGAATATACTCCCAAAGGACAGCATAAAGAGGTCATATTTATTAAAGGAACCATGAGATTTTTCTACTGGAGATCAACCAATAAAAGGTTCACAAGGCTTATGCCAAGTCTGATTATTATGACATAAGTGTAAACCAAGGGTGTAACTTTGTGATGAAAATTGGTGGGGACACTCTAAGGGTGGGGGCTGATGGACCTACAGTTACTGGACACAAACGCTTTCATTAGGTTTTTGTATTTTCCAAAAATGAGCTCAAACATATATTTATTGAATGCTTTCTTATTGTTAAGAACTATAATACACTGATATTTATATTTATAGATAGTTAGAGAGATGCATTTTAGTGCATTACATATATACAGCCCAAAAACATTAATGTATTGAAAAAAAAATGAATAAGAAACGATTCCGATGCCAAAATCGATATATCATGCATCCCTAGAAGTACAATTTTAATTCCATCCATCCAGAAAAATATGGATATGCTGCATTTTAATTAAAGCATAGCATATTGTTTTCTTGTAAACTTCCCGGTAAACTTGGAGATATAGTTTATAGCGTGTTGAATATCCCAGTAAATCTGTTTCACCTTTAAAGCTGCAGCTCTCCCTACTTCTGTCTGTGCTCTGTTTAAAAAGATTTATGAACCTCTTTACTAACATGATGATGCCAGAAACAACATTTCAAGATATGTAGAAGCTCTGCAGTCTGACTCTGTCTGAACAATAAGAAAACATGTTAATTTTAACCAGTAACTGGGAGTGATGGTCCTCTAAGAAGCCAAGCTTTTTTAACAAGTAAAGAAGAACAAACTATGTTTTCTTAAGCTTCTTACATTATAATACTACCTTGTATAAACTTACAAATTGGTGCCATTTTTGAGCCTAAAAAGCTCTGCATGTCCAACAAACAGATTTTTCATTCGTATGATCTCAATTTTTTTTTTTTAACCAACCCGTCTCCTAACTTTTACTTAAACCTCAAAGTAGCTGCTGGTTAATATTCACTGAGTGCTGCTGTGTGTCTCTCCTCCAA